TCCCTCTCCCTCTCCCTCTCCTTCTCTGTCTGTGCCTCCCTGTCCCTCTCCCTCTCCCTCTCCTTCTCTGTCTGTGCCTCCCTGTCCCTCTCCCTCTCCCTCTCCCTCTCCCTCCCACTCAAAGATAGGGAGGGGGTGTAGGGGGTGGTGGAGATGGGGAGGGGGTGTAGGGGCTGGAGGAGGTTTGGAGGATTACAGAGGGACCGCGGTTGTGTTCTTGTTTTCCCATTTTTCTTTCTTCCTTTCTACACCCCCTCCCTCCCAGTTCTTTGAGACCCTGGAGCGGTGTCTGCTGCTGGGAAAGTGCTGCAGACGTCTAGACGCTGGTGAGAGAGAGATGGACGACTCAGGGGTACAGCTGCTGGGTTTACAAAGGGAACACCTCCAGGACCTGCTCCCTGAACCCCAGGTGAGTAATGGACTGAGCAAACAGCACAGATCCCCCTCCATCTCTGCTTGACTCATCCCTACCCCCACCTCAAACAGTCTATCTCTCGTAAAACCATCTGACCGTCTCTCCCTGTCTCTCTTCCCCACCCCCCTGCCAAAATCCCGGTGTGAACCAGCAGGATTTACAGGCCATGAGACAGAGGCTGGTGCCCGAGATGGAGAAGAGGCTCCAAGACAAGTGTTTTTCTGTTCTCTGTTACTATAGACCAGAGTACGGTGAGTCATGGGAGGCGCGCTGTCTCTCTCAATCGTGCTGTGTCTCTCTTGCTCGCTCGCGTGCGCTGTCTGTCTCTCTCGCGTGCGCTGTCTGTCTGGCTCGCTCTCAGGTTTTCTCATTCAGTGTGCCTGCCCCCCTCCCTCAGAGGGTAACAGTGAGGTCCTGAAAATGGTGAAGTGTGGGGCGATGCCGGAGCTATTGGAAGCTGACAAACAGAAGCAGAAGAGTGAGCGGGACAGGAACAGGGAAAATCAGATCGCAATCACCAAACAGACCATCGCCTATCTGACGGTAAGATCCGACGCGCGCACAGCTCCGCATTCGGCTCCCCAACCCCAGCATCTCAGCTGCTCGCGTGCTCTCTCGCTCTCTCTCCCGTCTCTCAGCCTCTCCATCTCTCCCCATCCCTCCCCCCTCCCCAGGTTCTCCATCGCTGCTTCGGGATCCTGCAAGAGTTGATCGAGAGACACCGTCTGGCCTCCCAGCCTGAGCTCGACGCTGAGCTGCTGGTCTACCTCCGCTTAAAAAGCAAGGCCATGTTCACCAAGCTTGGGTGAGGGCAACGCGGGCTCGGCATCGGGTGGGGGGGTGGTGGAATGGGGCAGGCAAACATTGGGTAAGGTGGCCAGGCGCTGCACCTCTTCCACCCCACCACACCTCATGGACAGGCTGGAGGGGAGCTGAGTGCGTGTACAGATGGACATTTTTGGGGGTGGGCGGGGGCAGGAGAGAAGGGGCATGGAGGGGAGAGACAGGGAACTGGAGAGGGAGAGGTCTGCCCCCATCCTGTGGAGGGAAGGAGCTTCACAGAGAAAGCCCCCTCCCAGCGACACTCAAGCCAGTAGGGGAATGATCAATGGGGGCAATGTTTGCAGACGGGGCACAGGCAGGCGGAGGGACAGGCTAGTGCTGAGGAAGGAGGGGGGGAGTCTGCAGAAGGGCACGGACAGGCTCGGAGAGTGGGCAATGAAGTGGCAGGTGGGATACAACGTGGGAAAATGGGAAAATCTGACCCACGAAGGGGCTCAGGAGTCCTAGCTCAGGATTCTCTGAAGGTTATAACGTGCAGGTTCAGTCGGCAGTTAGAAAGGCAAACGCAGCGTTAGCGTTCGTTAGGAGAGGGGCTAGAATACACGAGCAGGGATGGACTGCTGGGGCTGTATAAG